CAAAGCAAAGCTTATATCATGTGTTTTTAATATCTCTTTAGCCATTTCTGGAGATGATGCTATCAAAACAGGCTTCGAACCAAACTTTAGTAGCATTAAATCTCCATATTTTTGTGAAAGATGGTGCAAAGATTTATGTGGGAGTGAACCAAGGAGGTTCAAATTTCCAATAATTGGCCATGGCTTTGGACCTGGTGGTAGTTTCCTTTTGGGATGGTTCAATATTTTTAAGACAAAAGCTAATACAAATAGCCATGAGCCAAACACTATGAAAACCCAAGGGATTTCCATTTTTGATAATAAGCGACTGAAGTTGAATTAGATGTAATAATTCAAGAATGCCTCACAAATATTTATAGGGCAATTGAATAATCAATAAAAAGAGAAGAAGTGGTTGCATATTTAAAAGTGGCCCCATATATTGCTTTAAAAAATCATATTTTTTCTAAGATTGCTGCAAAATTATTAATACCGAGAAAAGTTGGTAAAATTTAAGTGCGTCATCAAGTGATGGAAAAAATAATAATTAGTGCACGTGTTGCAATCTATTAATTAAAAAAAGACACTGTTTTGTGATTGCTTATTTTATTTTATTACATAAAGAAATGTCATGAACACTTCTTGTATACTAGAATTGGACAAGTACATTAGTATGAATGATGTTGTAGTAACGATATTCTTTTATCTTTAATTAAATATTTCAAATTAAATTTTTTTAAAATAAAGATAAAATTATTGAAAATGTCATAGTGGCCGATTTTCTATAGTGCGCAATTTCAAATCGAGCTCCAATACAAGCTACTGTAGGGTAGATGATAACGGCTTAGTGTAGAGGAATATTTAAACGAGATGAAGCAAGACAAAACATAATTGGGCAAGATAAAACTTTCATTTTTGAGAAATGCAAATGGAGCTGGGGAAGTTGGTGGGTTTGATTAATTTTTTTTAAAAAAAATTGAAAGCAAAATACTTCATTCGTTCACTTTTACTTGTCATAGTTTGACTTGATACATTAATTAAGAAAATAATTAATGATAAATGTATTTTACCAAACTATTCTTATTAAATAATGATTTATAAAATAATTTGAAAAATAAATATCTAATATTAAGGATAAAACATTTGAAAAACATTGTGTTCTGTTAAAAGTGATAAATAAATAAAATGTTATACTTTAGAATAAATGACAATTAAAAGTTGATAAAATATTATAGTATTTTTGGATAGATATTTTGTGTTCAAAGAACTTTCTACTTTCGTTTGTGTGGTCCAGCCTATATCCCATATGTTAAAAAGGAAGAAACTCTTCCTTTTTTGTTTGCAATAAATTTTTGGTATATCTTTATTGAATTTGCTACAGGTCAATAAATACGAAGTTAAAAAATAGGCACATTTTATCTCTATGAATAAGGAGCTCTACATCATTATAGAGATAAAATGATTAAAGAGTAGAGTTATCTATATTGTACGTTATGGATTTATAGATATACGTTCGGTTCTTCGGTTCAATATAATTAAATTTTGATTTGATTTTTTGATGTTCAGTTTTAAAAAATTGTGCATCATAATTTATATCAAACTAGATCGGTTTGGTTGATTTTTTTTACTTTAGTTCGATTTAGTTCATTATTTTTTAAATTAATTTTTTGATGTAAATAAAAATAAAAAAGAAATATGATAAAATAGTAAGAATTTCATGTGTTTAATTTATAATTAAGAAGACGTAGTATAGATGATTCTTTAACTAGGAGAATTCAAATTCTGTTTATGTTTCTATTAGATGGATTATTTACCCTCCCGTGTTGCTATAGAGATGACCAATTAAATATACAATGACAGAATAAGCAAACATATTGCAGATAAATGATAAAGAGCACACAACAATTTTCTTTACTCACAAAACAAGTCTAGTGTTCACACATTAAAATATAATTAATATTTTTAAATTTATTTGATAAAACTTTAATTATTCAGTACATCATCGTAATTTTGGGCTTTTAACACTAAAATTTGAATCGAAAAATTGAAGTTTCGAAAAGAAAAAACCAAAATCGAAACACTAAAGAATTAAAATAATTCAATTCGACTTAATTTTTTTATTTTTTGATATTTATAAAATAACTTGTGAAGAACAATATATAAAATATGAGATATTTTAACAAGATAAAAATTAAAAGATTATCTATTCCAAGACTGGATTATTTTATGTAATATTTTACAGGCCCACATGATGTAAAGAAATTTGTTTACTATAATGATATCAATGTTCCATGATTTTTTTCTTCAAAAATTTTCATATAAATCACTTGGTATCATTATTTTTTTTTATTATATCCCTATTTTTTAAAAAAATATTAAATTAATCTCTTTAAAATTTGGAGACTTCTGAAAGTTTTCAATTTGTACAATAACTTCATAGATAGTCATTGTTGTAGATGACAATTATAAAATTTGAAAACTGTTGTAAATCAATTGAATCATGGATTGTCCATTTGATTACTTCAAGAACTATGATGAATTCATGTACGTATAATTTCAAGGTGATATGAACCTTTGTGGATAACTATGTATCTACTAATTAAACATTTATCATGGTGGCTTTTGGGGTGATATCAAATAAAGATATTATTCACCTTTTGTATAACACACTTGAATAAGAAGAAAATCATCTTCTTCATCTCTATGTCTTGTCTTATTCTTTGTATATTAATATTCCCATGAGCTTGATTTTGCAATACAATTTTCGCAAATAGGCTCCCTTTTAAGTTGATTCTTCTATATGGGTTAGGCCCATTGAGCCGGCGTGAGCTAACCCGATGGGTAATAGGTTGGACAAATCTTTTCGGAGTCCATTTAAGAAAATGACTTTTTGCCTGATTTGAATAAACCTGTTGATTTGGGGCTTGAGAAATATAGGTAGGGTCGGCTCGTGGGCCAATAAAAATTAATTAAAAACTATAATTCAATACTAAATTTTAAAATTAAGGAGAGTCCAAACTCAAAACAAAATTGAGTTCTAATAAAGATGGAGTGGAAGTCTTGGTTCCATGATCAAAGATATGGGATTTTTTGGGTGTGTAGTCAATCCATAAATCTCGTCCATGCTTATATCTTCTGGCTTCATATCTCCTGCTAATTTCCAATCAAATCCATGCAACAAGTTAGCCATTGTTGTTCGAACAATCTTTATACCTAGGCTATACCCCGGGCACTTTCTTCTTCCTGAACCAAATGGCAACAACCCAAAATTTTGTCCCTTTATGTCTATGTTATTTTCTATGAATCTTTCAGGAATGAACTCTTCTGGCCTATCCCAATACTTTGGATTTCTTCCTAAAGACCATGCGTTTACATAAACAGTTGTCCCTTTTGGTATGTCATAACCAGCGACATTACAATCCTCAGTGGAGTAATGAGGAGGAATCAATGCACATAAAGGATGAAGTCTAAATGTCTCTTTAATTATGGCATCGATATAAGGTAACTTAGAGAAGTCCTCTTCTTTTACCCATCCTTCTCTTCCAATGGCTCTGTCAAGTTCTTGTTGTGCCTTCTCCATGATGTTTGGTCTCTTCAGAAGTTCTTGAAATGCCCACTCTATCGTTGTTGCTGCAGTATCTGTTCCACCACCTACCAAATCCTGACATTGATATAAAGTAAATGTTCTATCTATACATCTTATATTATTCTACTTTTAGAGAATTTAAGTAAACTTACATGTATTAATCCCATCATTGTATCTGTAGTAAGCTTAATTTCAAGATTAGGGTCATCAGCAAGGTGTAACATAGCATCAACCATATCCTTTGGACTATAATTCTCCTCTTTTTGCCTCTTTGCCTTGTGATCTTCAAGTACATATTCATAAAATTCTGTCATATTCTTTCTTAATGCCTTCATTCGTTTTACGTATCCTTGTAAGTCGAACCAACTAAGCCAAGGTATCCAATCCCCAATATTAATAAGCCCACTAAGAACAAACCACTCATCAAACATCCATTGCAATCTTTCATGAGTTACTACTGAAGCATCACTACTACAATATGTTTCACTCATAATCAACCTATTTATAGTGCGAAGAGTAAATCGAGCTAAACGATGTTTAAGTAAAATTGGTTTTCCTGAGAGAGGAAAAAGACGAGATATCAAAGTTTGTCTTTCCTCAACACGAATATACTCTAATGAATTAAGTGTTGTAGGATTAAGTAGTCCGGTTAGTGATATTTTTCTAGTTTGACGCCAGTGTGGACCGTAAGATGCCCATGTCATGTCTGAATAGTTAAAGCTAATGTACTTACCGGCAGCTAATGGAGGGCGAGAAGCAAAGCTTATATCATGTGTTTTTAATATCTCTTTAGCCATTTCTGGAGATGATGCTATCAAAACAGGCTTCGAACCAAACTTTAGTAGCATTAAATCTCCATATTTTTGTGAAAGATGGTGCAAAGATTTATGTGGGAGTGAACCAAGGAGGTTCAAATTTCCAATAATTGGCCATGGCTTTGGACCTGGTGGTAGTTTCCTCTTGGGATGGTTCAATATTTTTATGACAAAAGCTAATGCTAGTAGCCATGAGCCAAACACTAGGAAAACCCAAGGGATGACCATCTTTGATAATAAGTGACTGAAGTTGAATAGATATAATAATTCAAGAATGCTTCACAAATATTTATAGGGCAATTGACTAATCAATAAAAAGAGAAGAAGTGGTTGCAAAATTATTAATGCTGAAAAATCATATTTTTTTGAAGATTGCTGCAAAATTATTATTAATGCTGAGAAAAATTGGTATTTAAGTGCGTCCTCAAGTGATGGATTTTTTTTTTTTTTAGCGAAAAAGCACTTTTTTGTGATTGCTTGTTTTATTTTATTACATAAAGAAATGTCATGAACACTTCTTGTATACTAGAATTGGACAAGTACATTAATATGAGTTATGATTTAATAATGATATTTCTTTATTCTTAATTAGAGGTTTCGAGTTAAAATTTTTGAAATAGAGGTAATTTTGTTGGAAATGTCACACAAAATGGTTCTCTATAGTGAGCTATCTGATTTCAATTGAAGCTCCAATACAAGCTACAAATATAAAATAAAAAATAAAATTAAAAAAAAAACAAACAAACAAGTACGTAGGATATTTAGTAGATGACAATGGTTTAGTGTATAAGAATGTTTAAACAAGATGAGGCAAAACAGAACATAATAGGGCAAGACAAAATTTCATTATTAAGAAATGCAAATGGAGCTGGGAAGTTGGTGGATTTGACCTATAATTTGAAAAAATAAATACTTAATGTTAAGGGTATAATATTTGAAAAAAGTATTGTCTCTTCGTGATATATTAAAAGTGAAAAGTAAATATATATATTTATTTTAGAAATAAATTATAAATAAAAATAAATGGACGAAGTATAGTAATATTTACAGTTTGATTTATACTTTAATTAAGAAAATAATTAATAAATAAAGTTTTATCAAATTATTCCTATTAAATGATGTCTTAGAAAGTGATTTGAAAAATAAATACTTAATGTTAAGGGTATAATATTTGAAAAAGATATTGTCTCTTCTTGATATATTAAAAGTGAAAAGTAAATATATAAATTTATTTTATAAATAAGTTATAAATAAAAATGAATGAATAAAATATCATAATATTTTCTAATAGATATTACGTGTTAAGAACTTTCTAGTTTCGTTTGTTGGGGTCCAGCCTATTCTGTTTGTAGTAGGACTTTTGGTATATCTATATTGAAATTTGCTACAGGTCAATTAATACAAAGTAAAAAATTAGGCACATTTTATCTCTATGAATAAAGGAGCTCTACATCACTATAGAGATAAATCTATTAAAGAGTAGAGTGAGCTATACTATAGAGTATAGACTATATATAAGATAGCTTGTGAAGAAAAATATATGAAGAGTGAAATATTTTAATAAGGTAAAAAATTAAAAGACGAGTTAATATCTCATATGATTACTTAACTATGTACTCTTCTCTTGTAAAGTCACTCAATTTTCTATTTTAATTCAAAAGTCACTCAATGTATTTTTTTCTCAAAAAATCATTAAACTTTGAATTTTAATTCAAAAGTCATTCAACTATCTTCTCTTTCCTCAAAAAGTCACTCAATTTGTTTAGTTATTTTTAAATTAAAATTTGCTGAAATTAATTTATATAACAAATTAAAATTTTAAAAGATAAAAATTACCATTTAAACCATTTAGTGATCCACTCACCTGATCCGGCCTATTAAAAAATATAAAATGGATCATATTATTTTTTTAGTGAATCGGGTTGGACTACTAAATGATTTAAATGATATTTTTTATTTTTTAAATTTTGATTTGTTATATAACAATTAATATCAATAAATTTAATTTAAAAAAATAATTTAATATTGAGTGACTTTATGAGGGAAGATGGGATAGTTGAGTAATTTTTGAATTAAAATTCAAAGTTAAATGACATTTTGAGAGATAAGTACATAGTTGAGTGATTTTTGATTTAACATTGAAAGTTGAGTGACTTTCTGAGAGAAGAGTGCATAGTTAATTGATCATATGAAGTATTAAATCAAACTAAAAACTATTTGTTTCAAGTTTGAATTATTTTTTGTAATATTTTATTCAGGTCCACATAATGTAAATTTGATTTATAATGATATCAATTGCTTGCTTTTGTTTTATGATTTTTTTAAAAAAAATACTTTCATATAGATTTCTTGGTGTCATTATTTTTTTTATTATATCCCCATTATTTTTTGTTTGAATATTTTTGTTGTTATTCTTCATTTTCTAACAAACTGATATTAGAGCCTTGATTTGACATATATAAGTTTGGGTGGACGATAAAAATCAATCTTAGTAGAATAATTATCTGAATGGCTTAAATTATGTTATAGATCTGTGATTTATACGAATTTTTGAGTCTCATGAAAATTTAAGACTTTCGAAAGTTTTCAGTTTGTACAATAACTTCATATACAGTCATTGTTGCAGCTTAAAGTTTTAAAATTTGAAAATTAAATTTTCACAAATAGGCTCCATTTTAAGTGGGCATTATTGAAAAAAAAATTTAAAAAAATTAATTACGTGTGAACGATGTGTCTAAATGTGAAATTTGGATGATTTGGTATGTTTTTGAAGTGTTTTTTTTTTGACAAATTTGATTCTTGAATTCAAGGGAGAAGATGAATTCAGTATGTCTCTACAAATTTAAATAATATAATATATTGATAGTATAATATTGTATGTCAAGCTTTAAAATATTTTACGAAAATATAATATAAGAGTTCTGTATATTGGTTTATTGGTCAGTTGTGAATATGAGCTAGATTCGTTGATCTGTATTAACTTTATACGTAATTTAATAAGGTTGAGTCAAAATTTTTAAAATTCGTTTTAAAAAAAGAATTTTTTAGCCCGATTCGAATAAGATAATTGATTTGTGGGGCTTGAGCTATATAGATTGGGTCGACTGTGGGCTAAATTAAAAAAAAAAACTATTTGGATTGATGCCATTTAATAAATAATTACTGATTTTAGCGATACTTTTTATTTATTATAATTTATAGCAACACGATGTTAAATCTGCAATATATATTAAAAGTAAATTATGTATGCAATAAATATGTATTATAACTGTTTTTAAAAATATACCAGACTTATTTTGTAAGAAATTAATACATAGTATTATATGTGGAGTAACTTACAAAAATGACTATATTTATAGGGTTATTAAAGTTCAATAGTTATAAATATGTTATTTACTAGAAATGACTACACTTTATGTCAATTTCTAGTTGCATGTTTGTATTAAATTTTTTTAAAACTATTATTATTTATAAAGTGATCTTATGCACTAAATATGGTATGATATGTTACCATTATTGTCAAGTGTCAATCTTTTATTATGTTCCTAAATCATTCAAATTTCCATTATTAAATTACCAACTAATACATATTGTATGCTTATCTGATTTATTCACATAATACAATAAGTTGTATTTATATTCCTAAATACAATATATTCACTAAATACTAATTATAATGATATTTATAAAATTTTGAAAATATAAAAGAGTATTTGTTTTTTTCTCGTTGTATTTTTGCACATATTTTTTATTTTTTATTTATTTATACACTAATATAGTTGTAATTACAATAACCAAATAAGTAAAATGTATTACTTGTACAATTAGCATATGAATACTTTGAATTCAAATTTGTGTTTCTATATATAAAACTTAAAGTATTAATATATCAAGTATACAAGTATTTAAAAAAAATTAATATATTATACATCAAATAAGGTAAAGTAGTACAATTTTAGCATATGAATACAATAATTTAAAAAATAAATACACTATTGTTAATCCAAAAAAATGAATACACTAATATACTATACATATAAATACACTATTGTTAAATAAGAAATGGAAAAACAATAGAGTGTGTATGTATCAAAGTGTGAAAGTATTCGACTACATAAAAAATTGAAAAAACCAACAAAACGTCAATCTATTTTTTTGTGAAGTGTTTTCTATAATGCTTGATATTGACTAAGGTATTTATTTATAAAAATATAGTATTGATGTATCCATCTATAGTTGTATTGCCTAATCAAATTGGATAAATTATTTATGTATCCAGGTATACTTCTATTCACACATCATCATTTGTATTAATATTACAATACAATTATCTATGTATGTAAGTATTACACTATAAATAAATTTGACAAATAACAAAATTATCTCTCTACACTCTTTGCTAACAATGATAACCTAACGACTCCGTTGAACTGTGGATATTCCTTATGCTCCATCTCATAGACCGTCGGGGATCTCTCATCGATGCGCCGAGACAAGGAAATTGATCCAGCATTAAAGGTGACACCCTTCGCAAGGATACATGCAATTTGGCCATGGAAAGAAAAATATAAAAATAATATAATTTTCATGAAAAAGCAATTTGAATCAAAACCCTATAAAAATAGATGTATATAAATAAAAGGACAACTTTTACATATAGCAAACATTAAATTCATATTTGTATGTTATAGCAAAGTTTGCATAATTGCGCTCCATAGCAAACTTATATATGTATAATTTGATATACATATACAATTCAAGCGAATTGTATAAAACGAGAAAGAGAGAAATTATATACAATTTGAATTGTATAAAACGAGAAAGAGAGAAATTATATGTAACTTGAATTTGTATAAAACGAGAAAGAAAGGCAAAAAGAGACTTGTACAGGAAATATTCAATTGAATCGAACTATATAAAACGAGAAAGAGACAAATTATATACAATTTGAATTTGTATAAAACGAGAAAGGCAAAAGAGACTTGGACAGGAAAATTTTTATATTGTATAATTATAAGTGTATAAAACGAATATATATGTATTTGCATGCGTTTATACAATTTTCTCTCGCTTTATACAATTAGAAACACAATTTATACAATTTTATTGTATAAAGCGAGAGAGGCGAGCGACAGGAAGTGACGGAGAGGGAGAGTGACGAGAGAGAGTACGAGGGGGAGAGGGATTGACAAACAATTGGCTATGGAACAAAAATAAATCAAAGGATAGCTATTATATTTATTTTATATTAATAATTTGTCATTCTATACAATTATCTCTAAATAAAATTTTCATAAAAACAAGGAGA